AGTGACCCTAGCGTCTTTACATTGTTAAGTTTTCATGACGTCATACACGCTTCCTATTAGCGTCACATAAAAGTAAAACAAATTTTTTGGGGGGATATGAATGAGTGTGTAATTTTCATGATTTCGTAGAGGAATTCAATTAACTAATCTAAGCTATGTGAACCTCTTTTGGTACCTTTAAACTTATTGGACGTTTGTGGTTATCAAAATGTTAAAAATCAATATTCATAATAGATTTTTTTTTAATCAAATATGTCGCTTTATAATGTTTTCGTAAAAAAAATAAGCAAAGATATAGTATTTATGTAAAATTAAATTTATAATTTGTAGTATTGGTACTAAAGTGACGACTGAACTAAAAAATTACAAAAATGCATGAGAAAATTATTAAAAAAAAATCAGTTCTCTCAAATGTTAGCTAAGCTAATATATATAAATACATTTAAAAAATTCATTGGTTTAGTTGCCATATCGATTTCTATTGGGGGTGGGGAAAGGTAGAGATACTTCAGATACATATTTTACAAAAGGGTAATAAATACAATTGTAGATAATTCAGAAAACCAACTAACTCAATGTAATTGATAAAAATAAGATTGCCGGTTTCATTTATAGCTGTCTAATATTGACGCTTGTGCATCATTAGGCTGCACTGTATCATACGACATTTACGATCAAAAATTATGAGCTGCAAAAAGACTTATAGGCGAGCAAAATAGAAACAATTTAATTTCATAAACTGGTGTGTCTATCTTGAATATCTTCTGAACTAATAATGATTAGTTTAAAAGGGTGAAGATTTTTTTTGTTCACTGGTACTCTTTAAATTGCCAATTCATTTATATGATAATTTTTCTACCACTCTTCAGTATAGTGGTAGAAAAATTTTAAATTTCAGAAACCGTTAATTGTAGGTTAAAATGTCAAATGATAATCTTGTAAAACCTTCCCATCTAGAGATTTTTCTCATAAACAGTGCGTTAAAAATAGCAATTTTTCAAAAAAAAAAAAAAAAAAAAAAAAAAAAAAAAAAAAAAAAAAAAACTGATTAAATATGAAACAAGAAAATGTCGACAATTTTTAAACTTTTTTTTGTTAGACCAATAATGTAGGAATTGTAACCCTTCAAATATTCATCTTTAGTATTTGCGGTTTATTTGCTAATTTCTGATTAAAACTGTGTTTCGGCTTCCCAGTGTTACTTTAGAAACGACTCTATTAATTATTCACCCTCAATTTGTTTTTATTTTGCCGCCAATTTCACTGGCCCACAAATATAGATATATTGTTTTTGTTTTTCATTCTAAGGATGTTGGCGATCTTAAAACAATGATCATTGCGTCATAAACTGTCAACAAATGTGTAAAATAATTTTCGCAATTTTTATAATACTGACATCACCAACTGTTAAAAACATATTATATTACTTAATGTTTCAAAATCTTACTATTAGTTTTACTATTTTTAACTTTTTTTTCAAATTTTAAGACTATCATCGTTCGTTAAAAATAATTTATGCTGATCAATTAATGACTGCTTCTCAAATGTCAATAATCATTTGTCAAAATTCAAGACTCTGTCACATCAAACGTTAATTGTCGCTTGTCAAAACTCAGTTGTCATTTACTATATGCTTTGAGAAAGAAACTGTTTATTTGATGTATTTTGGTTTTATTTCAATAAAAAGCAGTTGGTAAATGCTTATATATTGTGGAAGAGTTGCTTTTTAATAATACTTGATATGAAAAAAGTGTAAATCATTACATATTTGTTGACGATAAAAGGATATAACTGTACAATGTGTAAAATGGTCATTATACATCTCGATCCGAGTATTAATTTATTCTATATCTACTATAAAATGGTAGATGTAAAATGGATTAATACCGAAGCGGCAATATATAATATATATATAGAAAGTTTTTGAAGAAACAACTTAAAGAACAGATAGCCAAACATACAGAGCTAGGTGAAGGAGGGGTATACAATGAAGCCCATCTTTGAAGCAATTTCACTTCAAACAAATAAACATACTTCTTTTATAATAAATGTTCAAAATAAAAAGGATTACTTTCATAAAATATACAAAACATTTAAAAATGGAAAAGACTTAAAAATTAATAATCAAATTGATAACAAAATTGCTTAAAAGAATAAATAAAAGTCCTATGAATTACCAGCAAGAAATCCAGATACCGTTTAGCTATTTACCAGAAAAGTCTAAAAGAAATAAGAGCCTTGAAAGCGCGTTACTTCAAATATTGGTGTTCACGGACAAATTAAATATCTATAAAAAAAATATAATAATAAAAATACACTTATGAAGGTCCCTAATCGCCTTTTATCGGCTTATCACGTTCAGGATATTAATCTCTTGGTCTTTTATTAATAACTACGACGTTCAGAGTGACCCGGTACATTTTGACAGTTCTTTTTTTTATACTCATAACCAAACCGTTATTTTTACCCTTTGGGCGGAAATAAGCGGATTGTAATGAGATGAATGAGATGTTGCTGTCGACCAGTTTCTTATAGATAGAACAGAAGTAAAAGTTGGAAATGCTTTTGCCAGTTCTCCCACTTTATACACATAAATTGACAGGTTGGCAGCGGATCTCCCCGAAGTGGACGCGATACATTGGCGTACAAAATTATTTTATAGATGTTAATAACAATTTCGAGTAAATAGCTTAATAAATTGTGAATAGCTGTTGAAATTTTGTAAAATTATAATTTGAATATTATAATACATGTTTAATAATTATTTATAATCCATAAATACATGCGATTGTCCGGTTCCGCCGCTAACAATTTAAAATTACTTATTCTATGAAACGACACTGGCAGGTAAACATTACTGTGAAATTCTCGGAGCCGCCCGACGTGGTTTGACGTTTACCCCCTCTCTACCTACCAAAAGACTTTTCAACTTTTACTTTCTCTATAAATAGACAACGTTCAGTCAAACAATAGCAGCTGTAGCCATCTTGCTGCACGTTGTAACTAAATTGTAACACTGTAAATTGTAATATTTATTAAGATTTCATATTTCATTGTTCTGAAGATTTCAAGTAATTTTTTATTTTTATAACATACATATTAAAAGATGGAAATACATTTTTGAGAGCAGTCTTTAAGATGGGGGGGTTCCTATTGATTTATAAAGCGATGCATATATGAGTATTTGACTAATCTGAGTGGCCAAAAGCCTATTTCTTAAAAAACAACACACGTAGAAAAAAAGGTACGCAACAAAGGCGAATAATAACGCAACAATAATCTAATCTTCCTCAGTTCCTCGAAGCAAGTGTGCTGCTGTATGATTAGTACGAATTTGCTTCTCGCAGGAAGTGCACGTATCTTTTCTTAGTAATATTTGTGTATGCAAACAATTTTTTTTAGACTATAGTTAGAAATACACAGTAAAGGACGGTGATAAAGGGGGTAAGTATATATATTATTTGAATATTTTTGTTAAGTCTGTAACCGTTTTATAGAAGTTATTGATCTTTGAAAAGTAGCAGTTTTTTCCTTTTTTTTTTTGCTAAATTTTAGAAACGGATTTGTTATACTTCTCGAAGTTTCCCGGATATGATTATACTCTAATAGAAATTTAAGGATTTCTAGTTTACGATCTTCTTAAAATAAGCCGTGGATTCGCGCGGTTTTCAAAACACTAGAATTTTTAAAAGTAAAAATAATGTGCTCTTTACTATCTGTTGAATTTTATTCTAATTTGCGTGTTTTAGAAACGTCGCGTCTTATAGTAATGAATCGAAGATATTTGTATAATAAGATGCAGCAGCAAAATTTACCGAATATTAGTAAAAAAAAAACCTGATATTTTCGGAAAACTATCTGAATTTACGACGACCATTCATATGAACAAATATAGAAAATAAAACATTTGTATCAAACAAAAAAACTTGTTAAAAGGTAGCTTAGAGTCGGTTAAATATTAGAAATAATATTGACCACTCAGATCGTACAAATACTCCACCGTCCGATGGGAGTCTATAAAAAGATGGGAACCGCTGTAAACAAGGAAAACGGCAACCCCGTTACATTCATTATAGTGCTGTAACAACACTGAATGCAAACAATCTTATTTTTACTGTCAAAATGTATAGAGACGCTGCAAGGCTATCACTCGGTGGTGTGAAAGAATTGTGACGCAACTCAAAAATTTTCACTTTCGTGTCTATTGAAAAAATGTGTAGCAAAATCCGCATATTTTTATGTGGATGAACCACACATTGCTATTTCCAAAAATGACCACAGGAATGGTGGTCATAGCGTTCTTCCCGTACTACAAAGTCTCGAGTTTATGATTATAAGGAGCGACACGAATCTAGTTGTGCCCCGATAGTCAATGAGACAAGATCGTCATTATCAGCTAGAGTGACATAAATCAAAATATGACAGTTTAATTAAAAATAAACTAAAAACATTTTTGACAAGTAAAATTAGATGTTAAATAAACTTTTCTGATATATCGTCATAACTTAAAAAATATATTTTTGGGTTTTTCTTAATTTTATCAAAGCAAACTTGTTATTTTTTAAATACAACGTGAACACTAACGTTTATTTCCAAAAATGCAAGGTCATGAAACAAAAAACTTTAAAACAGATGTCTTCGAAAATATGTTTTTGACTTGTGTCACTATTCTTGTATACCAACGAATTTGATTATATATCTGTATCATGCTAAACAAAAACACTTCTGACTCCTTTTTTATCTACAATCCCGTTCCTACTCATCTGTGTACACCAATATTCGCAACTCTATCCCCGTTACGCAACGTTTCTAAAAAAACTCCACCAACAACAAACAGAAAATAAAAACCGTCAAATAAAAAAAAATCAAAGCATGCCTAGCCAACCATTGAACCTCTGATCAAGTCATACGCCCACATATCAACAGATTAAGGCCTTCAACCCGCGTCAACGTCTCCATTGAGCAAATTTCGATTGTAGATAGCCTGTCTGTAACTGTACCTATTCACTGTGGAGGGGGAGGGGCGGTCAGGCAAGGGCGGCGCCACTATCCCACCCCCCATGTCGTCCAAGAGGCACACGCTGGGTCCCGTCGCTCCCGCCATGCTTTCGTCCACCTCGCCTATGCTGTTCTCGGCCAGGCTCACCGGCAATTCCGGGTAGTGCGACATCTTAGAACGCAGCATCAGGCTGTAGGTTTTGTACTTCTGCAACTGAAACAGATAATTATTATTTTTATTCATGTGCGACTAAAATTGCATAAAAATACAACAGAAATTTTACCTAGCCTCGTTGTATTAACCAATTTTGATATATGCGTTCAGATTTACACATTTTTCTTATACATATTAGATTAACATCCTCCTGTGTATGAAATTAATAAGTTATTGAATTAAAATGTTTAATTTTATATAGTTATTATAAATTTGTTCCAATTTCGCCTTGAGTTCGATGTGTAAATTATAATAAAAAATGCCGACTTATTTTAAAATAATTTTCAAAAAATTGAACTGGAGATCGAAATTGGAATATTTTTTCTAATGTATATTTAAAAATTAAATAATTCTAATTGTTATTTTAAATTGTTTTGTTTTATAGTATTATAAATTTAGGTGAAAATCAGAAATAATGAGATTCATGAAAACCATCTTGTAGTATTAATTATAAAATGTAACTTTGCAAAGAATATCAAAAAAGAAAAATTCAAAAATAAGGTTAAGGACCATAAAAAAAACCTAGGATGTTCCTAAAATTTATGGTATAAGCAAAAAAATTATTATTTTTGATTGGTCAAAAAACATTTGAAAATGACTTACTTCATATGTTAAATAAGCTTCCTTTTCTTTGTAGTTTTGGATTACTTGCGATTTTGATCCTTTCTCAGGTGGACACTTTCTATGATCATCCAACATGGCTCCCAGTCTCATTACTCTCTCCTCATGATCAGCTAACTGCTCTCTCTGGAAAAAAATATATATCTATATATAGCTGACAACTATCACAGAAACTGACATAAAAGTTTTTGACATCTGTCACGATGGGTCTGTTTCACATACTTTGATTACTACAGTGCAAGAGAGAGGTCCGACACGCCCAACATAGGGCGCGGCCATTTTGATTCCTATGCCACAGTTTATAGCTAAAGAATCAGATCGCTCACTCTGCGTCGGCACTTTTGATCTCAATGTTCCAGTTTATACACTGCCCAACTCGGATAATACAATATATGACAACCGCATATAATAAAACAGCAGTCTTCTGCGTATCCTGAATTTGTATCCCTGGAGTGGATGTTATTTTGGAACTTTCAACTGGTCCGAGTGAGCTAACTGATTCTTTAGCAATAAACTGTGACTCCAAAAATAATAATCACTGACACTGACAGCAGCAAGCAAAATATCAGGTGCATTTTAATCATCCACTTCTGCTTCCGGAATTGTCGGTTTAGTCGTTTTAACCTATCAGATTAAAACAAGAAAACCGGCAATTCCGAAGCAGAAGCGGATGATTAAAACGCACCTATTAAAAATATTGCGCCAAGATATAGGCAACACGTAATATGGGATCAAAATGGCGGAGTTCTCTATCTCCTTTTAAAAGGCACTCAGAAAGCTGCGCAGTGCGACCATTCTCCGTATGGTAAAAGAAAATCAAAGTATGTGGTCTGTTTCAACCAAAAATTATTATAAAGAAAGGGTTATAAAAAAGTGTTTCTAGTGGGATTTTGTTTTCAGAAGATTGTCAGTGGAAAATTTAATGTTTGGGAATGTCACCGGGAAATTTGCATGAAAAACGTTAAATAATTTTAGAAGTAATAAAGTTGGTAAATATAAAAAGTGTATATTAACGCATGCACGATAGAAGTGAAATAGTCGGAATGGTACTACAGGCTGGTATGTGTGTGATTGGATTTTATGACTGCGGATATAATCCATTTGCCTATTATACAGGGTGTCCCAGCTAAAACTTGTCACCCCCCTAATCTCCGAACTCGTGAAAAAAATTGAAAATCGCTCAGACCCGTCGATTTTAGGACATGCAGTGATGGACAACATTCAATCTTTAAGACAACTTGAGACTATTTCTGGAGTTTCTAAAAGCAGCGTACATCGAAATCTAAAAGAAGCAAAATTCCATCCTTATAAAATGCAGAAAGTACAAGAATTAAATGAAGATGATCCTGACAGACGTACAGAGTTTTGTGAAATCATGAGTCAATTATTGATTGGTGATAATAATTACCTCTACAATGTGTGCTTTTCTGACGAATCTTCTTTTTATTTAAATGGACATGTGAACAGGCACAACTGCAGATACTGGAGTGACGTAAATCCCCATTGGTACAGGGAAACTCATTCACAAATTCCCCAGAAATTGAATGTTTGGGCTGGTATTCTGGGAGATCATATTGTAGGTCCATATTTTATTGATGGTAACCTCAACGGACAAAAGTATCATGATCTTCTTGATACAACTGTGAACCCCAGAATCACTGAATTACTTGAAAACGATGATGGTCTACTTGAAGGTCAGCTCACCTTTCAACAAGATGGAGCTCCTCCACATTTTGTTGCACCTGTACGTCAATTTTTAGATGACAATTTCACAGGGAGATGGATTGGAAGGCGAGGACCAATAGAATGGCCGGCTAGATCTCCTGATTTATCACCATTAGACTTTTTCTTATGGGGTCATTTGAAATCCAAAGTTTATATTACACAGCCAAATTCTCTTGATGATCTACGCAGGAGAATTGTTGTAGAGTGTCGTGCAGTGACTCCAGAAATGTTGAGAAAAGTGCGAAGACATTTCGAAAATCGCTTAACTTCTGTATGGAACTGAATGGTTCACATTTTGAACCTTTCATATGATGATAACATTTTAGGTGATGAAAAATAAAAATATCTTGATAAAACTTACTTTTCATTAAAACTTCAACAACACTAGATCGATCCTCAATTTCAATACACCGATGTATTTGGGATTAAATTCCCTTTAAAATGATGTATCACAAGTAAGTAGTCCCATTGAAAATTTTGAAGTAGGGGGTGCTGGGGATGAGGGGGTTGACAACACAATGATGATGTATTTGGTGAAAGTGTTCCCCCTTGAAAAAAAATCGACGGGTCTGAGCGATTTTCAATTTTTTTCACGAGTTCGCAGATTAGGGGGGGGTGACAAGTTTTAGCTGGGACACCCTGTATATTTGTTTTATTGATACGAAGTTAAAATGAGAGAATCATATGAAGTATTTTACAATTGTTTTTTCTAATACTATGGAGGTGATGGTAATCGAGATATGTTATTTTTATCAATTCACTCTCCATATTTTTCGTGCCAAGGCGAGGAGTAACTTATGTTTTTTTTATTTTTATATATTTTTATACATTTTTATTTATGTTTATATATTTATCCTTATATATCTTTATATATTTTTTATTCATTTTTATTTAATTTATTTTCATTTATATGTACGAACGACGATCGTACAGTCTGAATGCGACTTCTAAGCTGTTGAGGTGTTGGAACATCGAAATATGTCGTTATCAAGGTGTCAGGACATTTAGATATGTCGTGGCTAGAGAAAAAAAATAGTATAAAAAGGAGAAGGAAGAAGACTAGAGGCACATACAAAACAGTAATCAGAGAAGGCGACAAGGTATAGCCCAAGTAGAACTTGGAAAGGCTTTTGCCAGTTCTCCCACTTTATACACATAAATTGACAGGTTTGCGGCGGATCTCATCGAAGTGGACGCGATACATTGGCGTAAAAAATTATTTTATATATATGTTAATAACAATTTAGAGTAAATAATTTAATAAATTGTGAATAGCTGTTGAAATTTTGTAAAATTATGATTTGAATAGTATAATAAATGTTTAATAATTATTTATAGTCCATAAATACATGCGATTGTCCAGTTTCGCCGGTAACAATTTAAAATTACTTATGCTATGAAACGACACTGGCAGGTAAACATTACTGCGAAATTGTTGAAGCCGTCCGACGTGGTTTGACGTTTACCCACTCTCTACCTACCAAAAGCCTTTCCAACTTCTACTTGCGCTATAAGAGCCAGATGAGGAGGTAAAGGAAAGCAGTGAAAGGAGAAACGCTAAGAGGTAGAGTGAGAGATAAAGCAGGAGTTGGAGTAGGATTCGGAAAGGTGGTGCAAGAGATTACAAGAAAACAGTAGAGAGAAAAAAGAAAGAAAAGGGCCAGAAGATTTTTATTTGTATAGATCTCAAAATTATTTAGTGATTTTACTTTCTTGAAATTTTGTAGCGAACCATAGGCGGTACGATCTCAAGTTTTTTGTATTTTGGAATGGTTTGATTCTCCAGGGTGGAACGATTATATAATTTAGATACAGATCTAAAGAGGAGATTTATATCATTGCTTAAGTCTACTTATATACTTACCAAATTCAATTTGGTATGACTACAAGGTAGCAGAGGCCTCTGGAATTTCTTTTGCGATCCGACGGCCGCTTCGAGCGGCGGCGCTGAAAAACTAGCGCACACGAAATTAATCGTGTCTATCCAAGATTGCAGTTCCTTAGAATCGCTGAAATACGAGAATATCATAATTCACTTAAAAAAAACAGACTTCAAAAAATACAAAAATAATATAAGTATTAACTAAAAATAAAAAAAAATGTTTTTTTATATACAATAACTTAATACTTATTTATTTCGTTTAATGTAAATAAATAATTATTGTTTGTTATATATTTATCGACCTTGTAAAGGCGCTTGACACTGTTCCCTACAAACAACTTTAAAATGTTCTTGAAAGTTATAGATAATATTAAAAGTCTTTGAAAGCTATTTAAATTAAAGAAAACAAGCAGTAAAAATAAGGAATGAACACAATATTATTACGATATAGGAGTCTTACAGGGAATAACCTGGGTCCGATATTATTATTTATAGTTAATTCATTATTACATTTAGATATTGAGGGTGTAACAATTTATTAGGCAGATGGCAAAGTTCTATTGTCAGAAAGAAACAAGTGATTCTGCTAAAGAGTTGTCAAAGAATTAGAATTATTAAAAATTGGTCCAAACATTAATAAATTATTACTGAACATTTTTAAAACTGTATATATATATATATATATATATATATATATATATATATATATATATATATATATATATATAGACATAGAAACGGTCATTGTGCAGCCCATTCTATATACAATTAGTACTTTGTATAGCCCGAAATGACGTTGTTCAGCCCACTGCTGGGCTAAACAACGTTTAACGTGTATACCATTGCCAATCGGCGAATAATACTGTAAGACTCAATCCATTAAAATTTAAGAAGGGCTTAACATGGGCTCGTATAGCCATATTTTTATACAAAATAGTTCATAGGAGTCGCCTGTTGGTGGCGCGCTAAGTAAGTGTATCTAGAACAGAAATCGCAGATCATTTTACGGTCGTTGTGTAGCCTGGTATTTGGAAACAGTTCGAACAGAAACAATAACAAATAATAAGTAATATTATATGTTTATAAAGAGAGAGTGATTAATAGTAGTTGTTTACATTTCTGTTTTAATAATAACGCTGACAAACTATTTGACTTTTTATTAACCGACTTCAAAAAGGAGGATATTCTCAATTCGTCAAAATATTTTTTTATGTATGTTCAGTGATAATTCTTTACCACGTTGTCCGAATTTTATTATTTGTATTTTGTTAGAAAGGGGATACCTCAGGGGTAATTACATATACAGGATGATTTATTAAGGATGGCGACCAGCTGTATCTCAGAAAATCTTAAAGAAAATTTTTTTTTTATAAAAACGCAAAAACAGGTGGATTTTTATTTTAAGGCGGGCATCTTTTTATAATATCCCCAACTGTCATATGTCATTTATCTCCCATACGTCAATCCAACCGATACAATTTAAATAGGAAAAGTACCTACCAAGTATGATACATCGTCGGAAAGGTATTTCAATAGGGAACTCAGCAATATTACTGTTCACTGCGTTACTTTTAATTTCAGCGCCTTTTAGCGAGATAAAAAATAATTACCTATGGTAAAGTGTGACACTTCATTTGAAAGCCAATTTTATTAGTAATTTAATACACTACGTAATATGTTAACTAAATCAAAAATTAACTTAAAAGGAAAAAGAATGCATTATTACTAAATTTATATTGTTGCAAGTGCAATATGGTTAATGTTATGTGGTGTTAAAAATAAAAATTTAAAAATCATTTTACTAAATTTGGCAAACGATAATTGGTGTTATAAGATAGACATACCAGCTAAAAAAGTTAGTTAAATAAACTTTGCCGGTGGTTTATGTAACACCTTAATACCTTTTAAATTTTACGTCACTGTCCGAAAATTTGTTTGTACTATAATTCTAATTATTTTGATGTTTAAAAAAAACGTGTACACTTGCCGGGAACTCAGAAACTGATTTAAGAGATATTCGCACTCAAAGGTATACTACTTCTACATTTTAATTTATTTTTAAATTTTAAGGTTTGGAACATTTATTTTTTTATAAATTCCCAACAAATTTTGTAAAATTATACTGAGTATAAAAAATTATAGCCATTAATAATTTTGAATTTTCAACTTTAACACCGTGCATTGTGGAAAAGAGAAACATTTTAACTAAGAATATTTTATTTGGTGATCTTATTTTTATTCACAGAATGTTCAGTAGTCAGTTGTTCTATTTGCCTGTATGTACAAGTATGTACAATAAACTTAACCGACAATTTTTTTAGAGATTTTAAGACAAAACATTTATATAAACATGGGTCCGAAAATGCTTCGCTTTCAGTATACAGGGTGTTGAACTTTAAAAAATAATGACTCTTCTTAAATATCTTAAATATTCTCCGTCCAATTTTGTTGAAATTTGGCAGTCTTATATTTAGTCTTAAGGACCTAATTTAGCTTTTAACTTTATTAAACTATTTTGTCCCTTAAATTTTTTTCGTATCTTGCTTGGTTTTCAAATAAAAAAATAAAGTTAATTGTATATCTCTGGACCACAAGAAACTCGGAACGCCATTGGACTTCATAAATTTAAGCGAGTTGAGAGACAGATTAACCCCTTAACTCAGCCCACTTAAGATAAAATTGGTATGGAAAATTTAAAATATTTCCGAAAAATCAAATTTTTTAAAAAAGTTTAACATTCTGTATCTTGAAAACGAGGCATTTTCGGACCCATGTGTATATTAAATGTTTGTCTTAAAATTACTCAAAGAATCGCACGTTTAAATTTATTCTACATATTTTAGTAACACACCATATAAATTAGACTGGGCCAAAAAAATAAAACATTTTTTTTTCTTAGCGGAACTATGAAAATATTGTTCATGACGACAAAAAAAATTTTCCTGAAAGTTTGAGCCCTTAATAATACAGAGGTGTAATACTAAGAGGTGCATCATTGCAGTTATTGATTTTTCAACAGTTGTCGCGTTTTTGCATAAATTTCGGACTTGGTCAATTTTAAAAACTTTTTTCATCTCTTATCCTTGTGGGAAATTAAATTCCCCACAAAAAAGCTCTCTTAGTAAATTTTCGTAAGACGAGTCTATTCTTTGTAATCTTAATATTTAAGTTCATTTTGGAAATCCCAAATGCAAAGTGAAAAATTGAAAATATATACCAATGTTTATGGCTCGATTACAAAGAATAGACTCGTCTTACAAAAATTTACTAAGAGAGCTTTTTTGTGGGGAATTTAATTTCCTATAAGGCTAAGAGATGAAAAAAAATTTTAAAATTGATCAAGTCCGAAATTTATGTAAAAACGCGACAACTGTTGAAAAATCAATAACTGCAATGATACACCTCTTAATATTATTATTAAGGGCTCAAACTTTCAGGAATTTTTTTTTGTCGTCATGAACAATATTTTTATAGTTCCGCTAAGAAAAAAATTGTTTAATTTTTTGGCCCAGTCTAATATAAATATTATTTATTATGTTTATAATATATTATTTATTAGTTTAATTTTTTAATTTCCTTTAAGTTTGAATGAATACGGTTAAATTAGATAATAATTATTATAACTATTTATATTTAAATTAAAAAATATATTCAGAGCAATTTTATAAAATATATCAAAATTACACAAATAACTTAAAATGACGAAAATCCACATTTGAGTTTAAATACTGTGAAAACCAATCACTTTATGAGTTCTTAGCAACAGTACACAATTTATTTAAAAAACATCAAATATGTAAAAGTATATTCCAAATAAGTTTTTGGTCAGTCGCGTAAAGTTTAGATGGGACGAAAGTGTTCCTTATTCATGTTGTACGCCACTGGTAGTTTATTTATACTGATAGATGTATCTTAGGACACTCCAAAAATGTTTACCGAATTTAATAAAAAGATTCTGAGAAATAAAAAACTGTAGTCAATAATATTTTTTAAATTTTCAACTTTAACGCCCTGTATTTCGGAAATCAGTAATATTTTATCCAAGCATATTTCGTTCAATCGTCTTATTTTTAATCAGAGAATCTTAAGTTGTTCTGTATCCCTTTCTGAATGAGACGCCCTGTATCACAGGAAAAAATTCTGAAATGAAAATTTTAAAATGCCATTTTACTATTTATTTTAAAATTTTTGAAACTTTAATAATAAATAATAACAGTTTTATGTGATTATGTTTTATGTTTCTTCAAATTGTGTATCAAAATAAAAATGTTAAAAACCTGTATTCAACTTAAATGTTTGATTAATAAAATTGTGTCTTAATAATATGTTACTGCCAAACACTTTACTAAATAAATAATAGAATTCAATTTTAATTAGCATTAGAAATTATTTAATGTAAACTTATTTCAAGAAATATTTTCACTCAACCAACAAGTAAAATAAATAATTGCCGGTAACCAATAACGCGCGAAAAGTGAATGATAAATAAACTCATAAGGTACACCGCTCCTGAAAAGAAATATTAAAATCAACGCTAAAGAATGCAATAAAGCTGATAGCGATAACATAAACATGTCGTAAAGTCTACAGCCGAGCGAAAAGTAAAGGAATGTGGTTATTATTATCTCGGGCCACACTGCGATGCAAATGTATTAAAGAATAAATTTAATACGAGCAAGGGTTAAACAACGACCTAATATTATCTCGGGCTAAACAGCGGCGCAAATATAGGTATATATATATATATATATATATATATAGCGTTCTCCCTGACTAATGCTAATCGACCAACATTTAATGAAATTCATATTGATACTTTTGACTTTATCATAAAATAAACTAAAACAACTAAATATTTGGGTGTAAAAATAAATTGACTCAAATTCAATACTTAGCAAACAAAATAAGAAAACTAATACATAAATTATATCTTATTGAATAAAAAATTGTTAATGATATGGATTAGTTAAATAGTTAATAAGATATGGAATAACTGTATAGGGTGGTTGGTATGAAAATGCATTAAAACCACTCAATATAAATTACATTTTCACAATAATTCATCATAAGAGTAGACTATTTTCAAGTCTAATCTTATGATGATCTATATAATTATTATATAATCTGTAAAATTGTAATTTGTAGATAATATTATGAAACTGTTAATTGTTTTATAATCAATTTCCAATCGCAATGAAATTAAAATCGATTTAGACACGAAAAATAAATTATCTTCAAATGAAAACTCACCTGGTTTGGAACAAGTACTCCGCCTGATCGGCCGTTTGCAATCTGAAGACGTACTGCTTCTTGGTATAATCCGACGCCTTGGTAGCCAGAGCGTGATGAATACGAATGGCGTTGTGTAAATTGTCGCCCATTTGGTTTTTTCTGAAGCCGTTTTCGTCCTTGTGTAGATACAAAACCAGATCGCGAAGTGTACAGTAAAACATCTTCCAGCTACGCTTGTGAAACGGAGCTAAAAAATAGCAGCAAAGGCCTTCGAAACAGCTATTTTGTATTGCAACATGCTTTGCAGGCTTAGTACGAAGTTTTTTTTTTTTTTTTTTGAAAATTGCGTAGTGGTTGTAAGGGTGAAAGGGACTTTAAGTTGCAAAAAAGTACAAAATCGGTCTCTTGTCGAAAAAAAAAAACCGACGAACTTTGATATATGCAATAAAACTATGAAACATTTCGATTGTCATAAGGAAAGCGAAAAATACTTCTTTAAAAATGACGCCATTTCTAAGAAAACAATCAACTTGTATGCCTTCGGCCTGGAAATAACTCGAGCGTCAGTTTTATTACTGTGATTTCTTCTACAACCTTTTGATACAGACCAAAAAAGCCTCAGATGGAGATACAGAAATTCCAGGAGTAAAATTGATATCAAATTATGATTAAACCTTCATAGGGCTCTATCATTTTGACAAATTTACTTTGTCAGAACGATAAACTCAGAAACAGCATCCGCTTGGACATTAAGTCACCTATAAATGGTTGAAGGGCGTGTATACATTTCAAAATACAGCTACAAAAGCAACATTTTCAGCCTTCGCTCTCAGAATCTTCAAATTTTTTACTAGGCTTAGCTATAAATCAACTTAACTAGTTGCTTATTCGTTTTAAAAATGATTTTGTTTTATAGAGATAATTTACACAATAATATTGAGTAATTCTTTATTACGCAAATAAAGATTATTGACATTGACATTTAAAATGTCATTATAAACACTGATTTATGGATCACTGGATTACATAATATTAAACAAGTGTTTCTAAATGCGTTCACTCAGTTGTACATGCAGGTATGGAATTTTTAACAAGGGGGATATACTTTACAATTAGTTGAACAAAGTTCAAGGAACATGCACATAACATAGAGAGAAACTCTCTCCAGTACTTACATCTGACACAGATTGAATCACTGCCTGATATGTGCAAATGTGGAATAATGTGCATGTTCCTATTATACCTTGTTCAATTGTAAGGTGTATAACCCATGTTAAAAATTGCGTACCTGTATATGTTTGTACATAAATCAAAATTGTTAGTAATTTAATAGCATTTTAACAGAGTTGTTATATTTGAATTATTTTTTTGCAACTTAAAATCAAAGCGGTTAGTCCTTATGAATGTGCAAATACTGGTTTTATTAAAGAAAAGCTTCAAAATATGTTGCTTGTAGGTATCTGTTTGTTAACTTTAAGTAGAAATTTCATATGAAACTGTCAGTGAGAGTGCTTTTAAATTTTGGAAAACAGAAATAGAGAACACAAGTTAAGCGAAACATTTTGAACTTATTTGGCTCTTTATATACTATGAGTTAGTCATTTTAGGTAGTATGAAAATACAAGCATTGATAATCCAATAAAGTAGAGCAAAGAGATAAGATATTTGCCATTTTCATGTCTAAATAAGTCATATCTATCTTATTAAGGTTTTCTAGATGTTCTTCATAATACTTTTGTATCTAATACTGTTTCTATGTGTACTCAATAGTGGTTTAAATTAGACAGTATATATCCCTTATAATGATAGCAACGATAGCAATCCTGTATAACCAGTATCTTTCCATAACCGTCTCTTATTTTATTCTTCTGATCTTTATTTATATGAATGGAAGAGCAAAGTTACTTGAAGGTAGTTAATCTACCTTGAAGAAACACTGCATCATATCAATTGACACGTATGTTGTATGTATGTCAGTAGTCCTTATCGCCTGATTTGATCCAGATTGTATACTTTGAATTCCTCATCACTGCCTTTTTTTGTTAAATTGGATACCCAAAATAACTTAACTGAGCATTTTTTCGCTTAACTTGAGCCCTCTCATGATTATTTTAACCATTCAAAAATTGTATTAACTCTTTCAAAAATTGAAAATGTAAATAACACTCGATGTGAAAACCCAATAAATAAACCAAAATTAAAAAGTAGCCAATAAATTCAAAAGCAAATGTAACAAATAGTTTTTCAACATACCAAATCGGTCCCAATACTTTTTATAATACCATAATAATTAACGTAATAATAGAGGTAGGTATTGAATAGCGAAGCGCTTATATATACTTTTACTAAGCAGTGGTGTGTACCTGTACAAATAAAATTAGTAATTCTAATAAATAAACCACCGTTTACCATTATCTGAGTTTCAATTTCATCCGAGGATAAGAGTTCCTATCAAGATTGACAAAAAAAATCTAATAAAGTCCTAAGGGAGGTGTAAAATACCCAGATGAAAGAAAAACAGGAGTGATTAAATTGACTCTTAATAAGTCCAAGTTGCTATATGTAGGAGGATATCAAATAGAAGAGGGAGATTTACCTAACTTGAAGCCACTTCAAATCCTACACTTCCTTGAGAAAATAGGATTGGAAGGGTCTCTATAGGCATTTCCTTAGTGCAGTGGCGACAGAAGGGGGCACAATAGATCCTTTAGGTCGCAGTTTATTAACACCCCATTATCAACATAAGTCCAAGTTGTGTTATGTCACAGATCCAGGAGTCAATTGAAATAGATTATATAATTTTAATAGTCTATGATTTTAAGGAAAAGTATATATGTTCAAGATGTATCTTTAAATCGCAATGAAGTCAAACGAGACCATATGAAATGAAAACAGCTACAGAGAAACAGCGTTGGGAAGAAGCGTAAAAAAATTGAAAATGCAACGTATTGAAAGACCAAGGAAAACTTGGGGAAACGCTAAGTATGGAAGCAGAATGGAACACTTGGAAGAGAGCAGCTTTGGAACGGTTTAAAAATTTGAGCAAAAGTTTGAGGAAACGTAGCTTTTGGAAAGACGATGGAGAACTTGAGAAAACGCAGCATTTGGAAAGACAATGAAAAACTTGAGAAAACGCAACTATGTAAAGACCATTGAAAACTTGGACCATTGCAACGTATGGAATGACAATGGAAAACATGAGGAAATGTAGCGTTTGGAAAAACCATGAAAAATTATTGAAACAGGGTAAAAATTACAAGAAAAAACGAATGGTAGCAAATGAGATCAGAACCTAAGAAACAAAGAATAAGAAAAGAGTAAAATCAAAGACGAAATAAAAAATAATTTTAATAATTTGATAATAGGGAAATTGTCCTGGAAGGAATCAATCTTAGAAAATTCACTCGTCATTTTATACCACCGGGATGTTTAAATATCGGGATTATAGACACAATTTATTGAAATAGACATAGAGATTGAAGTACAATGTTAAAACAAAGACTATATTTTTTAACACCCTGAAATCAACTAAACTTCTTCTATCTATATAAACAAATAAAAACATTATTATATCAATCAGATGATGGTAAAACTACTATTAATATTACACTAAAAAGAAAGGTATTTTTCTAATTAAAAAAAAACGCAGTTGTTAGTAATCGTTTAGCTATAGAGAAAAATGTACTCACTTCTTTTGGCGTTTGCCTCGTAGCAACACTTCCTCATGACGTAACCCTTCTTGTATTCGACAGCATTGGCCGCCACAGGGACGTCCAAGAATGGATTGCATCCCAAGTTTGCATTCTCGTTATTCCTAGATTGAGATTGTACGTTGTTCCTATCTTCCAGGTCTTCATCTCTATAAAAAACAAACAACCATGACAATTTGAATTAACGTATTACTCGTCCCTAATTTCAGTAGTACCATCTTGTGTCTCTCTATTAACACAATGCATATCACTCAGGAGTTGCAACTAAGTCATTTATATGGTTAAAAGATCTAAGGAATTGAGTTAAGTATAACCGAAGCAATGCATAGTAAGGTTATGATTCATCCTTGATCTACAATACAGGGCGAGGTCAAAAGTATTTATTCTTTACAAATGCATTTTAATCTAGCAGAAACGTTGCAATCTATAGCTTGAGTAGAAGTTACAGATAAAAGAAAATAATTAATTAACAAATTTGTTCTCACTAGAGCCGTTTATGTACCAGCAATCTAAAAATCTTAACCTCAAATTGTATCATTGTCTGACTCAGGTTTATTGACACTAAGGAGACCATATCTAATACAAAAATCCAATGAAATTAAGTATGAAAAAATAATGATAATGGCAAGACTGTTAGTATGACAGATTACATAAATCACTACGAAGAATTCTGATAAGAGAGATGGATTAATAGGGAATTACCGAAATACTTACAAAGCCCATTCTAGGGGACAATTCTTGATGGCGTGATACAAATGCTTTAGAACGTCTCTTGGGAAGTTTTCACATTCGTTCAAACCTGCTAAATTTTCTATAAATTCGTTACATGTCATTTTCCTTCCTATATTTTGGCCATGTATATCCGTATTGAGCAACATAATGGCACAGGTTAAAGTATGAACGGCATCTAAAAAAAATTCATTCGAAATTAGCACAATTTGAATGTTTGTGATATATTTTTTTTACCTTGAGAATTGAAAGAACCGGGATTGCAGTCTAAATATCTCTTGGAAAAATGAACGAGTACACGCTCCCTCTCTTGAGTCTCACCGGTGAGAGAGAATTGTTTGAGGAACTTTCTTAAAGCTATATCTAGGGTGTCTTTGTGGAATTCGAAATATTTCAGATATTCTTCGGCTACGGCTCTACTGAAGTCGTTACTTAAAAAAAAACAATAAAAATATAACGAAGTAATTATTTTAAATGTACGAATATATGTCGGGCTTGATAATGATCAGTTATGACGTAATAACCCAAGCATAAATGTCGAATCAAAAGCCAACCTTTTTGATCTTACAATTCATAAAAGGCTGTCAAAACTATTAAATTAATTTTCAGTGGCAAATTTCGCTGTCACCTTCATCAAAATTTTATTATTGAAATTGGTTATATTATAATAATGAAACTTACTTTTTGCTAAGATGCCTGGAGACGTCGGACTTCTTGAACCCGTCGAGACCATATAGCCGTTTGGCCAACCGAATGGCGGAAGGCATGTCGACGGCTTTCGGAGAATAATGAAAACTGTGAAGGCTTTCCACGTCGCTTTCGTCTTCAGAAGACAACGGCGACGATTTGTTCGTAAAGTCCCTGAAACCTTCTTCGCGGTCGATCTCTTGCTGAGTGTCGTTCTACAAAATGGAAACACTATTGAAAACAATTTATAGATAAGTACGAGATTACCATAATAAGTTTTTTAATCATCAAAGTGTCAATGTAAGAAACACAATAACAATAATTATATATGGAAACATAAATTGCCTAAATATGTAGACTGTAAGTAAAATTGAAGATAAAAATAAATTATGTAAAACATTTTAAACATAACCTATTTTTTTAAGTTATTACTAAATGTCAAAAACTGACACTTCTTGAAATCGTGAACATTCCGTTTTAAAGCGACATAAAATGGTTAGATTATAGAACTCGGTACGATTCCATTTAGCATTGGTCAAAACTGTTCTTTTATCCATCAAAAATTTTTATGTGAGTCATACACCATATTCTTAAATTCAACCTAATTCTCAGATGGTTGTCACCAAATCGATCGACGCGATTGTGTTGATGCACCACTTGATGGACCACTTGACATAACTTTAAATAATTAATTATTATTAAAAAAAAAATAGGGAAATAGGAAAGTTCGCTCAAAATTTTTAATAATATGAATGAATAAACTCACTATATTTTATTAACCCAATCTCTAGTAGGCTAACTTTTAAAATATGATTGTTAGATATACAGCAGCCAAATGAAGGCACACATTCTTTTAATTATTGTATTACCCATACTTGTCTTTAGTTTTTATGCTCATCAAAAAGGGCTTCGAATTGTTTGTTTTCATTAAATAAAGGTAATTTGACAGTTAAAATTACAGAATCACAAATGTCAGTAATTCTTAAATCATTTTCATCAGATAGACATAGGATTGTAGCAGTCGGCAATTTATCATCAATACATTCTTTTGTTGAATATTAGAAAACTCCTGATTATACTCTTATTTATGAATATAGATTATGAAGACTAGTCTTCGTGATATAGATATACGTAATTTACCAAATGTTTCTGGCACCATGCAAAAAGAAAAATTGTAAAACTGTTTCTTATTAAGGTAGGTCACTCGCGACAGTCGTACACAAATATATCGCCTAATGGTAAATTCCAAAAGTTCGAGATTCTCAATGCTAAAAAAATGTTATTTTTGTAAGAGACGTACACAATACCTGTAAGCTTATATATGTATATGGATAGATATGTTATAGATGCTTCTGAGGCCAGACTATAATTATTGAAGGTGGAATCGGTGCAAAGTAAAGTCACTGAATTACAAAGAGAAAACCAGTTACTGAAGGCAGAAATTGAAATTCTTAAGCAACAAAATAAAAAAAAAACAGCATTGTTATTTTTGGGCTTCAGAACACTCAATGTAACCTAAACATACAATATATTTGCTCACAAATTAAATCGCTGTTGGATATCGATATAAAAAATATGAAATTAATTAATTTTATAACTTGGGAAAAGAAGAAAATAGCCCTTTGAAGGTAAATTTTAAAAAATTGTAACAAAGTTAAGGGAAAACATATAAGCTTTGCACATGAACAAACCCCCAAACAAAGATACGAGTCCAGTATTCTTAGAAAACATTTAAATTTGGCAAAACAAAATAAATAAAACAACTGTTATATTAAACGAATTAATTTATCTATATGTAAATAAAAATATTTATTCTGTTGAAGACTCGATAGGCTTAGAAGAACTAGCCAACAAACCGAACAGTGCTCCATCGACTCCAACTGCTGTGGACCCGACACTTCCCTAAAATAGAAACGTCTCTTCTGGTACTTCTCAAGATCCAAACATTGCGGCTATTATCAAACATCTACCCAATACATCTAAAATTAACAAAATTGGAAGTGGAATTCATGTTAACAAGCCAAAAACCAGAAACCAGGGCAATAGACCCATAATCATTTCGCAAAAGTAGATTTACAATTTTATTTAATCACAAATTGTATCTTCTTTATTTTAATTTATTCTTTCATATTTGTATATATCTATAAGTATTTTCATTGTAGTTAATATTTTAAGTAATATTTTTAGTAATTTTTTTTTATAATAAATTAAGGGTATGAAACATAATATCAGATTTTTACTCCTCAACGTAGGATCTGTTTTCGCTATATTTGACCGAGTTACAGACTACTTATTGAACAAAAACAAAGACGTATTTGGCGTTAGTGAGACTTGGTTACCCTCAAATTGATTCTACTAATATTTTTATTCATCCTTAGTTGTTAGAGCTGATAGGGATGGGAGATGCGGAGGTGTTGCTTTCTATATTAATTCAAGTATCAAATATAATTTAATTTTTTCACAAATCAATCTTAACCTTGAGCAATTTTGATTTCTACCAAGTTTCGCGGAAAAACAGTGCTCCATCGACTCCAACTGCTGTGGACCCGACACTTCCCTAAAATAGAAACGTCTCTTCTGGTACTTCTCAAGATCCAAACATTGCGGCTATTATCAAACATCTACCCAATACATCTAAAATTAACAAAATTGGAAGTGGAATTCATGTTAACAAGCCAAAAACCAGAAACCAGGGCAATAGACCCATAATCATTTCGCAAAAGTAGATTTACAATTTTATTTAATCACAAATTGTATCTTCTTTATTTTAATTTATTCTTTCATATTTGTATATATCTATAAGTATTTTCATTGTAGTTAATATTTTAAGTAATATTTTTAGTAATTTTTTTTTATAATAAATTAAGGGTATGAAACATAATATCAGATTTTTACTCCTCAACGTAGGATCTGTTTTCGCTATATTTGACCGAGTTACAGACTACTTATTGAACAAAAACAAAGACGTATTTGGCGTTAGTGAGACTTGGTTACCCTCAAATTGATTCTACTAATATTTTTATTCATCCTTAGTTGTTAGAGCTGATAGGGATGGGAGATGCGGAGGTGTTGCTTTCTATATTAATTCAAGTATCAAATATAATTTAATTTTTTCACAAATCAATCTTAACCTTGAGCAATTTTGATTTCTACCAAGTTTCGCGGAAAAACATATATTTTTGGAGTTATGTATCGCCCCCCTAGTTCTTATGTTATTAGCTGCCTTGATGAATTGGATGACAGGGTCGCCAACTTGTTACCATCTTGTGATTTTTTCATTGTGTCAGGGGATATTAATATAGATTTTATGACCCCTAGTAGAGGTTGTGATCTATGTATACATTTCTTAAATTCCTATGGACTAACACAAATTGCTAATGAACGAATTCATATAACCCCGCACAGCAAAACTCTCATCGACATTATATTTGTGTCAGATGTAAAACAAACAACATGTGTTGGGGTATTTATTAGATGTCAGAGACCGTGGCATGTCATATCATCAAGCTGTTTTTTAAAACATAGAGTTGATCCCTTTAGAAAGTAAGAAAAAGAGAATTTTACTACTAGAGCTATTCGACGAAAAAAAAAGCCTTATTTAAACTTTGTTCTTAGAGAAAAGAATTTCAAGACCACCTGGGACACTCTAAGATCCTTAGAAATTCTTAGAAAAAAGGCAGTCCTCTTATACCACCTAACTTAAGTAATGTTACTGAAATTAACAAACATTTTAATTCATCTCCTACTACTCAGAAGTCACATGACCAATTAGCCTTACTTGATGGATACTATGAAAATATATATCAAAATAAATTCTGATTCAGTTCGAAAATCTCTAAATCATATAAAAAATCATGTCGTTGGTTTATATAACTTATCATTGCGCATGATACAGTTAGTAAAAAATTATTTAATCAATCATTTAACATTTTTAATAAAATAATGTCTTCTTCTGATTATCCACTTTCGTGGATACAGGCTTTTATTATTCCGCTTGCTAAATGTAATCAACCTACTAACCTATCTGACTTGCATCCTATTAGCATTCTACCAACCCTTTCTAAATCGTTTGAATTTATACTTGATGATTCATGTCGAGTTGTCAAGGTGTAAAGAGCTATTAATATTTGCTGTTCAAATTAGTGAATTTTTAGTGAAACTACTCATTAGAAAATTATGAAAATTGGTAAGCTACTAGCATACTAGCTAAAGTGGAGTTTGATGAAGAAAAAACAAAAATTAGCAAAGAAATACTTAATCTAATTAATTATTTAATTATTTTCAAATAAAGTGCTATTTTTAAAGAAAACCACTATAAGGTTATCAGTACAACTTTTTACTTCGGTATCTCTTTCTTTCACTCAACAAAATAAACAGTGAATTATTATAATTACCTGTGGGGCATTAAAAACATTTATGAGAAACAAATAAAGAATTATGAATAGAAAATGGAGTTTCTTATGTAAAGAGATCAAACAGCCAACTAAAAATGTAAGAAACCCATGTCATCAGGTGACTCTTGCAGAAATTTAATATGTCTGGAATGCACAAAACTATCCTCTTCTGAAATCAGGTGTCTGCCATTACAGAAACGTTTACTGCAATTTAACTGCAAATCATGCCATACTAATGACTTTTTAAAACTATTGAATAGAAAAATTGAGGATAAAGAAATTATAATCAACGATGAAGAAGAAATTATAAACAATAAAAATGAAATAATAAAAATGAAATAATAAAAATGCTACAAGAAAAGATTAAAGAATTAGAGGAAAAAGAGCAAAGTGGACCTAATCTATCCTATGCAAATGTCGCTTCATTAAAAATTAATGCACAGCCCAATGATGTATCGCATAATCTTCCAGATATAATATTCAAACCTAAAAAAAATCAGGATCCAACTCAAACCAGAGAAGACATTATGACTTACATTAACCCAGCTAATTTAAAAAAAATAGGAATCAAAAATATGAAAAGTACAAATTCTGGAGCTCTGACAATAAGGTGCAAAAATAAAAATGAATCTGAAATTCTTGAAAATATATCTAAAAGTAGATTAGCAAACTCTTATACTATTGAGACGTCTAAAATGAGAAAACCACGTGTTAAAATAACAAACTTCAAACAATTAAATAAAGAAGAAATTTAAAACTCCTTTGGACCAAAATGAAGCATTGACAGACTTTAAGGTAACATTTATTAAAAAAAAGGAATA